TATGTTTTTTATAGGGATGCACGATATTGGGTTTTTTGAAAACCGATACCGATAACTTCCTTGCTTCTCAAGACCGATAATAAAAAAATGTTTTACGCCACTATATTTTAAACGCGATTAACGCATGTGTATTTTTTTTCCTTGGCCGCCCCGTAGTTTCGAGCGCATCGAGTTTAAAATACCATCTACAAGCTGATGTTGACAGCCCCGCTCCTGCCGCCCGCTTGTGGCGACCACACTTCCACGCTCACCGGCAGGCACCGACTGGCCATCTGGAGGACCGGGAGGGTGTGTGTATGTGTGGCCCGAGCGAGCGAGAGATCTTACGTGCATTGTTGTTGTTAGCATCTGGTGCTAGCTAGCTGGCGCTAAACGATATAAGGAGCTGTTTAAATGAAAACAGAGGCGACATTTTGCCACAACTGCGCCGAGCACTTGACTTTATGCAGGAAGCCAGACAGTGGGACATTGTAACGAAAAGTCAGCACACTCAGCACGGATAGTGCGCAACATGATTGCAAGCGTCCAGGCAGCTCCGGTTCGAGCATATCCTTCAGTTGCACATAGCTCCAACGCCCATACCACCGACAACATGTTTGTTTACTGTCCTGGCTTTCACGGCCGCACACCATTTACGTCACAGCCAGGCATGAGTTAGGGGAGCTCTGATTTGTGAAGAACTCCCCTCTTCCTAAATCACTAATACCACAGTACTGGCAAAACGGGAAGGAGCCGAGTGAAAAACAAGCACCCCATCATCCCAATCCACCCACAGACGCAGTATTTTTTTCTTTTTTTTACCCAACAAATATATTGTATATTATCGGGGCTATTAATACTGGTATCAGGTTTATCGGGATGACGTCATAATTCCTAATATCGAGGAAAAAACTAGGGGATGCACGATAATTATCGGCCCGATAATTATCGTGCATCCCTAGTTTTTTTTATGTTTCATCACCCCGAGGGAACCATGGAGCCATTGCTAATGCCCCTCCACCACTGAGCTTTCCTCTGGTCATAATTCCTCTTAACACTGTTTCTATGGTGGGATGAACGCTGTGAGACATGGCTCCATGATCATGATCCCATAGTGAAACGAATAGTTATGGACAGGAAAGAAAGGCACTGAAAATATAATCTCCGGTTAAGAACCAGCTCTCCATTGGAGCCAATGTGAACTTATTGCGGTGGTGGTGAAGTAGATAGGGGACTTGGCTTGGCAACTGGAAGGTCACCAGTTCAAGACCCGGCAAGACCAAGTGCCACCGAGGTGTCCTGCAAGGCACCGTTCCCCTACACTGCTCCCCGGGTGGCCATTCAAAATGGCAGCACACTGCTCCTAACACTAGGATGGGTCAAATGCAGAGAAACAATTTCCTTCCCCACGAGGGATTATAAAAAGTCCATTTTTATCTAGTGAACTGAGATAAGGAGAGATCTCACGTGGTGGTGTGAACTGAGATGCACTCTTACTTTTTATGTGCTTGGGTCTCTTTTCCAGGAAACAGAAGAGATTGGTTTCAAGCATCATTAGAAGCAAGGCTTAACGTCTCCAACAAATGTTAAATGTTTTACTTGATGTGAAACGAAACCTTTGATAGAATCACTTTCAGACCATCTATTGATATGCATATATAAGTCTAATATTCCTCTTCTAAAAGTACCACATTCAATTTTGTCATCTTGTATTATCCAAGCTAGACTATATTAAATGCTCATCAGTGTTTATATCCTGTGCAGTTATTGTGCGTACATGTGTTGTACTAAGCTGTGCATTCACTGTCTATTCTAAACCATGTATCCATCTGTTGATCAAGATCGAATTCATGTTGATTGCTGCAAACTTGCTCAGATTTCTCAATGCATGATTCAGAAGTCAGGGTGCTATGACATCACCAGGGTTGTATGGTGGGGATTTTGGGGCCGGGGGTGGTAATCTGGTAGTATTAAAAAAGCTGTTGATGTAAAATTTGCTTGTGCATTTGAAATCAAAATGCACCAAAGGCTGTTTTTAAAGAGCTGAAAAACACACCCATGCACGCACACACCAAATTACCCTAACAAATGTATAACGGGCCGTCTACACTACAGGCATCAAACAATCTTGAAGCAGGGCTTGTCTGAGGCTTGACGATTTCTCGCGCGCCCAAGGCGACCAACAACCAATCACATGAATCTCCCGCCCCCGACATACAAAGCATAGCATGTTCAAATGAAGTAAACTGGAATATAAATCCCCAAACAGGCGAAAACCTACCAGTTTTCACCCACTGTCTCTGCCACCATCCCTCCATGCCTGGTTCCCTCCGGTTTGTATCCCGATAAATAGTTCTGGTCGTAAAGAACCGGGTGATTTGCTAACGTAATTTCTCGTTTGGAATATGAGGAAATGAACTGCGGTCTGGCTCTCCCAGCTTGCACGCGGTTTGATTGGCTAGCGCTTGTACAGGCGGGATTTGCATAAACGGGATTTGATTGGCTGATGCCAAGCATCGAGCCTCAAAAGTTGAACATTGCTCAACTTTTGATGCTCACGATGCTTGCAAAGCCACGCTCCGCTCCCCACAATGCAGTTCGGCGAAGATTCAAAATCAACTACGTCACCCCATTCAAGTGAATGGGCGAAGCGGTGAAAGCATTTTTCGATGCCTGTATTGTAGACGGGGCGTAACGGCCCGTCTACACTACAGGCATCGAAAAAGCTTGAAGCTGGGCGTGTCTGAAGCTTAGCGATTTTTGCGAGCAACGCGACCAACAACCAATCACCATGAATCTCCCGCCCCCGACATACAAAGCAATAGCAATGTTAAAAAACGAAGTAAACTGGATATAAATCCCCAAACAGGGCGAAAACCTACCAGTTTTCACCCCACTGTCTCTGCCACCTTCCCTCCATGCCTGGTTCCTCCGGTTTGTATCCCGGTAAATAGTTCTGGTCGGAAAGAACCGGGTGATTTGCTACCGTAATTTCTCGTTTGGAATATGAGGAAATGAACTGCGGTCTGGCTCTCCCAGCTTGCACGCGTTTGATTGGCTAGCGCTTGTACTGGCAGGAATTGCAAAAACGGGATTTGTTTGGCTGACGCCAGCTTCGAGCAAGCATCGAGCCTCAAAAGTTGAACATTGTTCAACTTTTGACGCCGATAGACGCTCGCGATGCTTGCAACGCCATTGCCATGCTACCCACAATGCAGTGTCGGCGAAGTTTGAAAATATCCTAACGGTCACCCCATTCAAATGAATGGGCGAAGCGTTGAAAGCATTTTTGACGCCTGTAGTGTAGACCGGGGCCGTTAAGGCTTACATTATAGACTTTATATCCAGATGACCTACAGAGCATCTTTGAAAACATTTTTATAACATGTATCCATACATTTGTTAATCCATTTTAGCTAAAAGTGCTTGACAAACCTTAAAATATTTAGTTAAAAGTATACTGAACAAACTGCTAAAACAGTTTGCTAAAGGAAGCCCTACTGGACCAGACTGTTCAAATAAGGTAGCTAAACAGATTACAATTATTTCCCTAAAGGTAATAAAAAACAAAATGTAACTAGTAAGTTACAAATATTTTTTAGACAGTTTAGAAATGGTAAGCTTGAAGCCAAAGATGAAAAGCTAAAAACGCATAAAATAAATGGTTGAAATAGTTACCTAAAACTAAGACAGGTTTATAATCCCTTTAGCTTTTAGTCCTACATAAATGGTTAAAATAGCTAGCCAAAAGTAATACATAGTTTAAATTGCTGGCTCAAATTAGTGCAACAGATAGAAAAGGCTGTAATAGATAAGCTTTAAACACAGCAAGTGATTGTAGTACGAATGCAAGCATAGACCAAAGCCACCTATCAATTGTATTTAAAAAAAAATCGTTTTTTACAGTATATGTAGTGCTTTTAAAGTAATATCCACTTATAAACACATTCAAAATGAAAACATTTGTAACACCTCAGACCTCCAACAACTTCCAATACTCACGTTTAGTTTGAAGTGTTCCGTAATCCTGATAACAAATAGACCACCAACAACAAAACCAAACCAAAACCTACTATGAAAGTAAAAATACTTGACAAAGCTGTGAGATACATCATACAAAAAATGTTGGATAAACACTGAGGGCGCAATGTAGGAGCCACAAAAACATATACTAACTTCTCAATGTTATTTTCCGAGCTCACTGTATGTTTAAGCAATCAAGCAGGCTGTAGGCCACCCTCAACATGGCTTGTGTCGTTATAAAATGATTAATGCGGTAAAATAAAATGTTGCCTGTCATCAAAGGATTTACTATCAGGGGTCTGGATAAAATGTTCAACTACAGACTGCTATGTCAGCAGAAAAAGGCACCCAGGAGTCCCCAAAACATCAACACTCATCCACAAGCCCTTGTAAGAGGACAGGACGTGTCAGGAATGCCAACGCAAACCCCAAACCACACACCACACACACACACACAACACACACACACCACACATCACACACACACACACACACACACACACACACACCACACACACACACCAACACACACACACAACAACACAGACACACACAACACACACACACAATCACACACACACACACACACACACACACACACACATGCACACACACACACACACACGACACACACACACACACACACACATACACACACAACACCACACACATCACACACACACACACCACATACAACACACACAACACACACATCAACACACACACACACCACACACAACACACACACTACACCACACCACACAGCATTTTAATTTTTTTTTATTTATTTATTATTATTATTTTCCTCCATTTGTTATCGATAGTACAGTATATGTGTTACATTGATTTGTGTTTGATATGGTTGGATAACAAAACATTAAAAGTACATAATTCAAAGAAACTACCACCATAAAATAGTGTCACAAAAACACCCAAACAAAGAATGGCACTATTTGTTCTAAACACAACATGTATTTTTCTCTTGGGTACAGGGTAGAAAATGAGGTCCAAAAGCAGCGGTGTGGAAAGCCCAGCCAATGGGGTGCTTGGGGTTCACAGGGACCCCCATGACTTCAGTCAAGAACAGGAAGTGGGTCTGCCTGTGAAGAGCCTGAAGGCCAAAGTTCAGCAGAATGACAGTGATGATCATTAGAGGTTGAGATGATCTCTGACAAAGACAAGCTACTGTTTGATTCCCCTGAAGCGGGAGAAAAGAAAAAAAACATCATGGACCTGTCCAAAGAGGGTCTGATCAAACTGATGGGGATCATGGAAGGAGAGGTTCAGGTGGGTCGGCTTTCTTTGTGAGATAGAAAAACATGTCTATGAGAGGCACTGTGGATGAAAACAAGCTTTATTGGAATGAGTTTGACTGACATTTTATGAACAATAGCTCTATCTTGTGGTAGAAAAATGGCAGTGTAACATGCCAGAGAAAATTGAGGAATGTGCCATGAGTTTACCATGAGACCTTTTGGGGGAAATCTGGATCCATTAAACAAATGATGGAATTGGCAAACCATTTTAACATTTAATTAAATTACACTCAAACTTGTTGAATCTTTGTTTACTGCTTTGTAATTTCAGGCGAGAGAAGAATGTTATCCAGCATGCTAAAGTTCCAAACAGGACTGTCCCAGAGGACCTTGCATCACGTTATGGATCTGCGGCCCCTGGTTCGGCCCTCCATGCCCTGCAGAGGGACAGCTCCATCACTGGCACTGAGCCGCATAGATGACAGCGTCTACCAAAAGCCTATGGGTTGAGGTAGGTTTAGCTACTGCCAGTTATAGTGGTTTTATGTTGAAAATCATTTCAGTTTGACATTCCTGAACACCTTGCAGGAGGTTATTGTGATGTTGCAACACAAAATAAAATTCTCTTTTTATGCATGGTTGGTCCTTGCCCTGTGTGTGTAATTGTGTTTATTTGCTCCTCCTCAGCTGGACCGTCTGCAGGAGAAGCACAAAGAGACGTACCGGAGGATGCTGGGTCAGTTGCTTCTAGCTGAGAAGTCCCACCGTCGCACTGTCCATGAGCTGGACACAGAGAAACGCAAACATGTAGACTACATGGACAAGAGCGACGACTTCACAAATCTTCTGGAGCAGGAAAGAGAAAGGTGAGGAGGTGGAGAGTAATGACGGAGCTAGGGGCATGAAATTGCATCTCCAAATTAAACCAAACATACTCATAAATAACAAAGATGTCATATTACTATTGTTATACTATATCAATTAATTGTGTATGGAGATTTCTAATGGCAAAATAAGAAGAAATAAATTATTGGTGAAAGGAATCCATTGCAGGTGGAAAGAGTGGTGAGAGAGAGAGAGGAAGAGAGAGAGAGAGAGAGAGAGAGAGAGAGAGAGAGAGAGAGAGAGAGAGAGACAAGAGAGAGAGAGAGAGAATAGAGAGAGAGAGAGAGAGAGCGAGAGAGAGACGAGAGAGAGAGAGAGAGAGAGAGAGAGAGAGAGACGGAGAGAACATGAGTTATAAAGCCGACTGGCTTATAAAACCAGTGTGGAACATATAAAGTGCATAAAGGAAGAGCAGCAAGGGAATACATTGAGATCGGGAGAATTGTGAAAGATCGCCTCATCTGCCAAGTGAATAACCAGAGAGGGAAGAGGGGGGTAGATGGTTTACTAAAGCGATAACCTTGCATACCTTTGTCTGACAGGGAGGAGGTACGGAGTGTGTGGAAGAGAAGGGGAGGAGGGGAAGAGGTCAGGCTCTTTGCTGTGGGAAAGAGGGAGGTCATGGGTAGAGAGTGGAGGAGACAGGCCTCTGGGTGGAGGAACAGGAGGAAAAAACAAGTGAAGGAATAAAGGGCTTTGACAGGGGCGAATCTCCCATGACATCATCTGTGAAATGAAGTCATTGTCGAGGTTACGATCTGGCTCATTGGTCAAGAGGAGACAATTGAGAAGTTTGGGGGGAGAGAGAAAGAGGGACGTACACACACTTCAACATCTGAGAGGGGATGGTTAAATCACGTGTGTGGGGGGGCCCCACATAGATCAAACAAGAGTGGTTGTGTATAGATGTGCAATGAATGTGTATGAGAGAGGAGGCCCTAGTAATTAAAATAGTTACAGATGAAAGGATTTGTTTTGTCGTTTTTTCTTTTCTAATTCCGATAACACATCTCTGTCCATTCTCACACAATTACTTTGAGAGATGGGGATGCATTGGAGGAGCAACTGAATGTTGGATTCAGTATTTTAAAGATTTAGCATAGGAGACCTATAAATACACCCCTGTACTAAATCTAGCTAGCGTTAACAGCGAACTGGTTGGAAGATTTGATAACAAAGCCAAAAAGGCTAATGCAAAAACACACAACATAGCAAGATATATCATATTAGCTTACTAGCCCTGCACCAGTTCTGGCATGACCCCTAAGAGGCTTGAAAAACGTCCTTCTCCTAGTTGTTCATAGCGCTTTTGCTAGTGAAAAGACGTGCTGCAGTCCGAGCAGCATATCTAACTAAGATTCCAGCTAAGTGACAGCAACTGTCATTAGCAGCAGTTAGCCTTAATTTAGCATGTGTAGACTAAAGCTTTTGGTCCTTCAGGAAACTCTTTAAATCACCAAAAAGAGTCAATGTAGAGCAGTTGAAGGACATCAGAAGACGCTTACCTCGTAAAATATGATCCAGTTTCACCAAAATCACCTCAGTGTTGTTCAGGGCGATGAGTGGGTCTGAACCGAAACTTAATATAGGCTATTCCCTTTTGCAAGTCAGTGGCATCAAAATTATTTTAAACGTTTTTGTAAAGCAAAATTGTTACATAGGTTGCTTTAATTGTAAATGGTACATATGTAAGTTATTTGTTTTCTGTGCATATAGCATTAGTTTAGTTTGCCAACAGGACTGATATCATGTGCAAAGGACAGCACAAAAGATAGCATCTGTGGTATAATGTATATCTATAGTCAGTCATCTGTAGAGCAGAGACAGTGCTGTATTTCTTAAACTGTCAAAACTTCAAACGTCGGAGGTACTTACTACCTTTTTTTCTTGAGCTTTTACTGCAGGACACAGGAAACAGACCATGGAGTCTAAATCACAGTCCTGACAGCTGAGCTGCTATCACACTGAAGAGATGGCTATGAGCAGCAGACATAGCGTATAGCTATTATACTCCTTTGGATGGTTTTTAAAAGGCTGGGGAAGAGGTGAAGTCATGATTCAAAACATATATGAAGAGTTTTCAAGTTTTTGGTTGTGAAATCAATGTGCAAACCTGCTGAAAATAGGTCATCAAGAGCCTATGTATTTCAACCAAATTGCTAAAGGAGTTTATATCATGTGTGCAACTTACAAAGAAGAGTAGTCAACAGCCATACTATAAGCTCTACTAACATCCCAATGGCAATGCTAATGTGATGCTTAGCAGGTATGTCTTACAAAGAAAATCTGCAATCCCTCTGCCTTCAGTGTGGATTGTGATGGACGTATCAACTGACAGACATTACCATATAGAGCGAAGCTGCTGGCCTAGCTGATAGAAAGCAGCACAGCACAGGTGCAGCACATGGTACAAATCAGAAGTGAACTTCCACTTAACTTTCATTTGATCCTTAGTTTGCATGCAACAACCTCCTCCTTGTGCCAGGGAGTTTCCACCAGGTTCCTTGGCTCGTGCACAAATTGGCCTCTGTCACCTCAAAGGGGATGAGCTCTGCTTTTCTATGGTCTTGATCTGACAGATCCTGCAGAGCTCAGATTCTCCTATCTGTTGCCGTAGAAGGACACAAAACTGATTTAGTATTTATATAGCTGACGGCAATACACAAAACACAGACAAGCCACTGTGAAAAAACAGAATCAAAGACGTTCAAAAACATTACTTCCTTTGCACGAACATATTAGTGCCAACAGTAACATGTGCATATCCGCCATGTCAGATATCTGTTTTGACATTCACTCTGTCAGGTGGGATAGAAGCGTGTAAGCATCTTGTCTTTATTAATGGGATCTACTCAGTGGCGTAACAAGGTTGTGATTGGCCCCGGTGCAAATATTGTTTTGGGCCCCCCCCCCCCATACATAAGCGCACACTGATGCGCTCACACACGCACGGACATACACAACCACTCAGAAACGCCACATGTATAGGCTATCAACAACAGCCTGCCCTGGCCTCAGACCACCACAGCCTGACAACGGCACAGCGAACTAAGAAGAGGATTATACCTGTTTCCTTGATGTTTGTCTCTGGAGACATACATAGACCGGTTGCTATAATATAGGTTTTGATCTTGGTGTTGGGGGTCTCAGTAGCCCCATAGAGCCCCCTATCGGTTGGGGGCCCTTGGGGGAACTGTTGGACCACAGCCAAATCCAGCCTCTCCTCCTGGCAGGCTGGAGAAGAAGGTTGCACAGCCACGGATACAGCTTCACTTGTGGAGCTAGATGGCAATGATGGTGGTGAGGCAGGTGAGCTATCGTTAGCCTCCGGCTCCGGCTGCCTCTGCACGTCAACATTGCTAACGTTAGCGCTCGATTTCGAGGACGATGTAGGACAAAAAAAAGGGTCTAATTTTGTCAGTTTAGCTGTTACATCTCCTTGTTCTTGTCCTTTCTCTTTTGAGCGCTGCTCTTGTGCTTTGGTTTGCTGTACATTATAAATGCAAGCTATTAAATTTTTTATAATGCTGCCGAACTTGCTGCTGCTAGCTACAGTACAGTATCAATCAATCAATGTTTATTTATATAGCCCAATATCACAAAGGTTACATTTGTCTCAGTGGACTTCACAGTTCGTACAGAATATCAGTATGACAATATGACACCCTCTGTCCTTAGACCCTCACATTGTACAAGGAAAACCTTCCAGAGAAAACCTACAGTTTAAAGGGGAAAAATGGGAGAAACCTCAGGGAGAGCAACAGAGGAGGGATCCCTCTCCCAGGACGGACAGACGTGCAATAGATGCCGTGTGTAAATAGTACAGGTTGATTAAACGGTTCGCTCGTCACGCAAGGTATCACATGTCATGAAAGGGAGCAAGGTTATTGGACAGACAAATGACAAATTAATGTAGGTTGCTTGGTTACTTTGAAGACTGTGTGAACCGGTTAATGCCATTGGGGCCTCAAAAAAAAGAAAAAGAAAAAAGGATTAAAAAAAAAAAAATACAACTTTTTTTTTTTTTTTGCATGGGCCCCTGGCCGGCTATGGGCCCCGGTGCGTTGCACCGGCTGCACCGTCGATAGTTACGCCACTGGATCTACTCCCAACGTCTGGGTGAGAGTGAAGAGAGAAAAGTCAAAGGTCTTGTGCCAAACACCTGCAGGAATGCAGAGGATGGGGCAGGAAGAGCAGTTTCTTACTGGTAGCAATCAACCATTAACACCCTCTCAGACAACACAGCTATTTACATGTCAAGAACAACAAATATGTAAGTGGCATGGTGTTATGTGCAATTATTAACGAAAGGAACAACTCCCATGTTAAGTCACACAGACAAAATGTTAATGTAGACCTGCAATTGAAAGCTGAAATGATGGTCTTCGTGTTACTTTTAGGTCTTTAGCCTTCAGAGAAAAAACGTTGCATTATTCCACCATTTGTCAGAAGATCGTGTACACACATTTGTAGACCTATGGTTGTCTTTAAATAGTCGATGGCCACTTTGTTTCTGATTTCGCTCTTTTAACAGCACATCAGTCTTATGTACTATACACTACCACAGGTGCTCTTGCTTAATGCTGCGTTCTCTCTGTCATCAGAGGTCATTAGTGTACAACAGTACTTTATTTTTATTTTTGGCAGTTCATATCTGGTTCAGTCCCTAGCCTCCTTACACAGAGGGGCTGCAGTGCCTCTGAGCAAATTCCCCGGGTAATATGGGATGAAATGTTGTTCCATGTTTAAAAAAAAGGTTTCTCATGGACGTTGGCTTATGCATTGCACCTGTGTATTTGTTCAAGACATGTGTTTTTATATCTCGCACGCACATTAAGAAGTTGAAAACGCTCATTCAAACAACTTTCTTTTACCCACAATGCACTATTTTCTTTAGATACAGGCCACATTTTCCATAGTGCGTTCTCCCTTGGAAACAGAGCAACTGAGCTAAATACCACAGACATCATGACTTTAACCTTTATATGGAAGTGATTTTAGAGTGCCGATTCATCAAAAGTCATATATCACTCAAGGTGAGAGTGATATCTGACTTTTTAAGCATGAATATTAAGAGCTACACTCTGAGATATGGAAGTCTCAATTGTACAGTAATCAGAACAACTAATCCGACTTGGCAATTAGGAAATAAGATTAATTAAAATGAACTTCATCTATACAGTTCCATGTCAGGGCATAGCACTTCATAAAACAATTGGCAAAGTTGTGTATCCTCCCAGATCTTCTTCCCCTCATGGGAGACATCCAACTCAGCCATATCTGCTTTTCTCATTACATGTAGACTATACAAGGAACCAAGTTCAAATCCAGTTTCCCCTCGAGTGAAACTATAGCAGACGTTCTCTTCTGTCTCCTGCACCAGGAAGGTTATAGCATCCGGTCTGCAGAGGTAATATCCTCTGCACATTTGAAAAAGGAAAATATAATTTTATTTCCAACAAACTTGCACTGAATTTTTTCTGAGAAAAGTTGTAATATTTTCTGATTATTTGTAAAAAAAACTGCCTACATTTGTTTTAGATTTGAACATGCCATGTTTAATAAATGCATTGAGATTTAGGGACATGTTTGCAAAACACACCCCCTTGGCAACGGTCCTGCCCCCTTCACAGTGTCCAGCAGCAGAGCAGCACACACACATGAGATGACATCACTCACTAGAGGTCTGCACTGCTCCACTATTCATCTTTTTTTGTCTTCATAACATGCCTGAAATGTGACGGTGGAGGATCTGTGAAAAAGGAAGCTCCTGCTACTTCTTATGTGTTCTCATTGGAGTTTGTATAATGGCAGACATGTTAATGTGTTGACTGTAGAGCATCCAAAGTGGGTAAGTTTTAAATGGAGTTTGTTGTAAAATTTCTGAGATGTTATGACTTGACCTAAAAAGTGTATTTTGAGCATTTGTAGGTTGTTTAAGTTGTAGATGCACAATCTTCTTACTTGTGCTGGCACCTTAATAATTTGGTTACTTTTGCAATGCAAAACTGTTCAGGATGAAGCGTGTATATGTCCCAGTGTAAAAGGAGAAGAGCCAGCTTTGCATTCGATCTGTTTTGCATGCATTTGGTTGGAGCCAGAAACGAGAATAGGCATGAGCAGCATAGAAAGAAGCTGAGAGAAAAGAAGACCACTTGGTGAGAGGATATTAAAATTTCCATAGCAGCTTGCGTTTTATCCATACAGCAGAGAATAGCAGGAGTGTTTCAGAGTTGTGAGGTTAATCTTTGCCAGTTTTCCCTTTTTATCTTTTTTCTTGTTTGTTAAAATGCATTTTATTATCTTTTTTTAAATTGCACCATACAATGTGTGTAATGATCAGTATATCAACTTAGTTTTTTTCTCAGATAAATTGAAATGCTGTTTAGTTAGTTGGTTAGTGCACTCAGTGTCAGCAGCAAATAATATTAGTAAAATGGTGCATCTGTGATCTTCTGCATGTTAGCACTTTCAAAATCAAACCAGTATGAATGAAATGTCTGTAAATAATTGAAATTATCACACATCATTCAAACTCTATCTGGGATAAAGTATTGCGTCCTGCAATGCAACTTATTTTGCTTACTCAATGACAAACACAGATCTAGTTACTGGATTTAAAATAAAAACCCCACACTAATGCCTTGCTTTGTTTTTCCCTTCACGATTTAGACTAAAGAGGTTGCTTGAGACCGAGAAGTCCTACCATATAAGAAAGGACAAGGAGCACTCTAAACGCCTGGCCAAGGTGCGAGAGGAACTAGTCAAGCTCAAGTCCTTTGCCCTGATGTTGGTCAATGAGCGCCAGCAGCACCTGGAGCAAATGGACCAACAGAGCCAACGAGCCCAGGAACTCAGCCAGCAGCTCCAACAGTGGGAGCAGGAATTGAGTGAAGCCAAGGAGCGTGCTAAGGAAGATGGCCACAGGGTGCTAAGCCTGGAGGCTGAGCTTAAAGAGAAATCCGCCAAGCTCACCCAACAGCATGAGGAGACAAGTGCCAAGCTGGCCACTCAGGAGATCCACAACCGTCAACTCAATGCCAAACTTGTAGTGCTTACCCATGAGGTGGAGGAGCTAGAGGAGAGAAACAAGGTCTTGGAGAAATCTGAGGAGGAGCTGCAGGAGCTAAGGGAGAAGATTGGCAAAGGGGAGTGTGGCAACTCTAACTTGATTACTGAGCTGGAGAACTTGCGGAAACGAGTGCGGGAGATGGAAGGAAAAGATGAGGAGATTACCAAGACTGAAAATCAGTGTAAAGAGCTCGGAAAGAGGCTACAAGAGGAAAATAGTAAGAGCAAAGACCTCAGGCTAGAAGTAGAGAAGCTCCAGAAAAGGATGATGGAGTTAGAGAAACTTGAGGGTGGCTTTAGCATAAGCAAGGCTGAATGTTCAGAGTTACACACTGCTCTAGAGACAGAGAAAGGACTCGCCATAGAGCTCTCAGATGAAGTTGTAGCTCTCAGGATACGCATGAAAGAGGTAGAGTCTTCTGAGCTGAAGTTAGAAAAGTCTGAGCTGAGCCTTAAGGATGACTTGAGTAAGCTGAAATCATTGACTGTTGCTTTGATGGAAAAACAAAAAAATCTGATGGAAAGATCAAAGTCAGATGAGAAGAAAAAGGAAGATCTGAGTAACATGGTCAAAGTTGAGCAGGGCAAGGTAATGGAGGTGACTGAGAAATGGATAGAGGAAAGCAAAAAGCTCTTGAAATTGAAAACAGAGATGGAAACCAAAGTAGAGACTCTTACTAAAGAAAAAGGAGACGTTAGCACTAGACTAGCCTATGAAATTGATGTAACTCAGGATCTCAGTTCCAAAGTCAGTCAAATGAAAAAGAGGTTGGATAGCTTCGAGCAAGCAGAAAAGCTATCTGTGAAGAACTCAGTAAAATGTGAACTGGGAAGAATGTTTGACACAGTCAAAATGGAAGACAACAAAGTTAAAGAGCTGATATTTGAAATTGAACGCCTCAAAAATCGTCTCAAACAACTAGAAGTAGTTGAGGGAGATCTGATCAAGACAGAGGATCAGTACGACATGTTGGAAAAAAGATTCATGACTGAACAAGACAAGGCCAACATTCTTTCCCAACAGGTGGAGGAAATGAGGGGTCAGATAGCACAAAACAAAGCAATCGAGAAAGGAGAAAGCCAAGAAGTAGACATCCGACAACGATGCAAGAGAGAGGAGGCAAACACCAGGGAACTACAGGCAGACGTTGTAGCCCTCAAGGAAAAGATCCATGAACTAATGAACAAGGAAGACCAACTTTCTCAGCTCCAAGTGGATTACTCTGTCCTGCAGCAAAGGTTCTTAGAAGAGGAGGAGAGGGCCAAGAACATGGGCACCGAAGTTTTCCATCTGACCAAAGAATTGGAGATAGCAAAGCGCCATAGTCGAGCACTAAGGCCCAGTTTAAATGGAAGGAGAATGGTGGATGTTGCTGTGACATCCACTGGAGTACAGACGGAGGCTTTGTCTTCTGGACCAACAGAGGAGGATACCCCAGCTGTGTTCATCAGAAAGTCTGTTCAAGAAGAGAATCACATTATGAACAACTTTAGACAGAAGTGCCTTAAGAAGCCAACAGAAAAGAGCGGTCTTGAGCGTAGCCCTTCAACTGGCAATGACATGAGTGTAAAGAAATCTTGGATTCCCTGGATGAGGAAAAAAGACCACACTCCTCAGGAGACCAACTTGGGAAAGCATATTCACATTAACGGAGAACATTTGACTTCTGAATTGAAGCAAGGACAGCCTTTACACATCCGCGTAACACCAGACCATCAAAACAACATGGCCACTCTTGAGATCAGCAGCCCCACTGAAGATGCTTTCTCTATCTCAGCTCCACTCAGCCCCAACCCATCTCAACCTAAATCCAGAATTACAATCATTCCAACATACTCTGCTCCAACAAACAAGAGAAAGTCCTTAACAGGCCCAGAAAGAGCCAAGTCTCCAGTCAGCATCACAACGATATCCAGAGCCAAGTCTCCGGAAAGCAGCCGAGTCCCATCGGCCTCAGGAAGGCCCTTGTCCCCTGTCTCTATTATGACAGTGAGCACTGCCATCGTGCCTGAAGTGTCTGCCTCCCCGGAACCACAGGAGATGACAATGGGCCGAGCGGTGTTCAAGGTTACCCCCGAGAAACAGATGGTTCCAATGCCTATAAGGAAGGGCCCCACCAATACTAGCATCATAACCACTACTGAAGACAACAAGATCCACATTCATCTAGGAAACAACATGACGTCAAAGATGGTAGTCAGGCCGGAGAGCAAGGAAATTACCCTATCAACTGGGACAGTTTTGCGCTCCCCCCGCCAAATCACCACCAGCACTACAAGAACTACCCAGAGCAAAGTGACGAGCACAATCACAATTTCCCCTGTCACATCCACCACATCTAGACCCACACAAAGCACGGTACGTTTTGCTTTGAGGTTACCTTCGTCCAAATAATGGATTGACATGTTATCCTAAACAATTGTTTTAATACGTTTGGATACCTGCTCAGCAGCAATTTACTCTGGACTACTAAAAGTTAATTGGAAGTACTGTTACAAAGAAGTCTGAAAAAGTAGGTTTGGTAAAAAGTGGAACAGTTGAAAAATATGTTTACTTCAATTGAAGTGACATCTGAATATGTTGATATGCCTTTTTTTGGATCCTTACCCAAAGAAAGTGTAAAGCTGTTTTATGGGCTGGTCTGTACTGGGCTGCCTTGACTACAACCCCTGTAATATATCAAATTGTCATTTATCCCCCTGTTTTTGTACAAATTAAAAGAAATATGTGATTGTGTATCTAGCTTAAGAGGTTGTGGTAGGGTTGTGATACCTTTTGGACAGAGCCAGAGCTGTTCCTCTCTGTTAAGTCTTCATGCTGATCCAAGCTAACGGGCAGCTTGCTGTAAATTTATATTCAACTTAAAAAAGTATTTAGGAGAGGTAACGATGTAACTTTAATGCCACAGACATTAGGTCTTGGTTTTATGATCTATATTACACGTGATGTTGCCCAAGGTACATCTGTTTACTAACAGCTTCCTAAATAAGAGTTAAAAAAACCCCACTGTTGGTGTTTCAGTGGACCTTATAATATGCTCTTTGTGGATCAGATGGCGTGACAAAAATGGCCCTATGGGCAGGCCTCAGAGAAGCAGAACTAATGATGTGGCATCTTGCCACTCTGCTACAGTCATTGTGTAATTTATAGTCGTTACACAGTGTTTACATTCACAAACAACCGGGCTCAGTGCCCTCTGGCTGACAAAAAGCAGCCGTTTACCAGTACCAACACACTGAAACCTAGCATAGACAAGTGCTCCCCCACTGGGATTGAAGTAAAAGAATGAATACATATTTACATTTGTGTTTCACACAGTTCCTTTAGCATATACAATATGATCGGTTACACTGTTTAGTTATTCAGAATTCATTTTTCCTATAATGGGTTTTGACTTCAAATGTTCTCAAATGTTCCCTTCAAGTGCTCCCCTATCTTTATTCTCCTCCCTGAGACACTGTACTCTCTCTCTTTTGTCAACAGACTGGGCATGATGCCCAGCCATCTCGCACAGGGCTGACCCGCATCCCAATGTCCAAGAGCCTGAAGACGGGGAAGGCTGTGCTGGGATCCCTGGGGATCTCGGGTGGAGTGAAGATGGAGTCTCGAGCTGACAGTCAGTCTATGAGGATAGAAGTAAAAAAGTCCACTGTGAATAGCAATATTTTACAAAATGGAGGAAAAGCCTGATTAACCACCAACATACCCAAACATATCTTACAGTATGGTGCTTTAGAGGGATTGAAACATTACCCACTGAAATAAAGCTCTGATATCCCTATAAATCTCAACTAGACATTGCAGGGCACAGAGGCTATTCGGTAATTAAATAAGCCATTTCTATATTTTGTAAAGTGTTTTGTACTTATCTATCTCATATCCATATCTGCAATTGAAAAATGTTGTCTGTTTCTGCAGTGTGTAACATACTATATCAGACAGTGCTGCTACTAACTGCTTCTTGCTTTGAGTGGTTGTCTCACGTATAAGGAGTTTGTGGATAATGTTTTATAAGGACACACATTAAATCAATATACTTGTTTTCATGTAAATTATTTCATTTTTTTCTGTAAAGGATTTGTACTGTAAACTATTTTAAATACATTTGTTTTAAAACGTGTAGTGTGGCATTCATATTAATGTAGGCAAATAAAAACATGCAGCAAAGAAGGAGAATTAATTGTATTCAACTTAGCTCAACATGCCAGATACATGTGCAATGTTTCATATGCATTCTTATAATCACGCAATTACTACACAATATAGTCAGTGCTTTTCAAAAGGTCTTAACCCAGGTGCACACAGGACAATGTAGTCATGCAGCAAGTCATTTTTTAATGAGCCCCATTGTTTTTACTTTGTTTTCATGGATGGAGTTAATCTATTATACTTGTATATGAGGGGCAATTAAAAGGTCACAATAACAACAACAACAACAACAACAACAACAACAACAACAACACATAGATAGTATCTGTAACAAACATTAACATAACAATTTGTATCATTATAATACAAATAAAACAATTTAATAATTCATTTAAAATGTGCTTTCCATAACAATGTTGATCGTGGTTGTTGAAATAGCCCTCTTTAAAGTTACAAAATATTTATTTGGGACATAATGGACCCTTTCCGAATGTATTTCGTGAATACTTAAACATAAACGTTGTTTTTTTATCGAATATGAATAAATAAATACAAATACAAATTATTACCAGGAATCTCATATATCTTGACAGTTATCATCAGCTGATTTTGCAGAATGGACACTCAGAAAGAGGCGTCGCTGTGATGTAACAGCTACGCTTCATCATCCTATTGGCTCGGAAACTTCCGGCTTCTTCCTCTTAGGTGAGATTAACAAAACAGAAAAATCAACACTATAGTGAGTAGACATTTGGAATAGATAGAGGGTACATTTCTCTCCGTAGACGGTTTTACCCTTTGCCTTAGCGTGTTGTGTAGTGTTCACCGTGTAGGATTAATAAGGAGCTGCCGGGGCTCTCAACTACAGTAGAGTATTTAGCTCGAAGCGGATTGCAGCAATGATGGCGTCAAGCTACAACGCTAAGGAAGAGGACGCTAACCACCCCGGTGCTGCGAATCACGCAGGGGCAGGGGTTGTGAAAAGTAAAAAGCCGGACAACACAGCGTTCAAACAGCAGAGACTACCCGCATGGCAGCCCATCCTGACAGCTGGCACCGTGTTGCCCGCTTTCTTCGTTATCGGACTCATCTTCATCCCCATTGGCATCGGCCTGTATGTCACTTCCAACAACATCAAAGAGTTCGAGGTAGGGTCATGTCTGCCTGTCAGCTAACTTTATAGCCACCGCTGACTTTCGTCTAGGTTTTTCTATACAGTCCATTTTAACCAGCCCACTATTCCCTAAAAGAGGCGACAACAGGCCATATGATAAATATAGTGCTAATCCTATTTATCTGTTGTATAACGACGAACAGGAACACAAATATCAAACGACACCTTTAAATTACCATGTATAAACACTGAGCCCTTGTCATTAGCGTATTATACACTTAGTTGCTAGTTAGCTAAAACGATTGCAGTGTAATACACACACACTGTAATGGAAGGAGGTAATATTTCAGAAAACTGTTTAAAACATTTGTAATGTTAACATTATTGTTATTCTCAGGCTGCTCTAAGTGCTTCTGCGGAGTAGTTTTGCATTATGATAATAATTCATATTTTGTCAGCATATTTATATCAAAATGTTAGAAACTTGAGTATAACGCAACATTTTGAAGCCAACCAAAATCTACTTTAGTAGTTTATCTACTTGTACTGAATCAACTCTTTATTAAGTATATGGATAGAATCCTATGAAATCATTATGCTTATCTAGTTTCTAGGTAAACTTATTATATTCAAACCTGCTCAATTAACTTATCTGCTCCTCCTTTCAGATTGACTACACTGGTGCAAACATTGACAATCCATGCTACAACTGTGCTAAGAACTTCAGCTGGAACAGCACAGCACAGTGTGTCTGCGCCGTGACGTTCACATTGGAGCAGCCATTTGAGGTGAGCACCATCCTGCAGTATGCAGCCCTAATGAATAATATATGCCTTCAGCTCCAAAACTGATAATGTTGCTTGAAGTGCTGTAGAAGAGAGAATCTGCACTCATGACATTAAAACTCCATTAAGATCTATTTTAGGTCCAAAGAAAGACAGACTCAAGGATTATTTGGAGCTTTTATTATCATTGATTATTATAGTCTGAAAATATACAGTCCTGTAACTTCCTGTAGGCTTCTATTGATTTTTTTAATAAAAGCTCTCACCAGTTTCATCCAATTTTATTTCAAGTGTTTCTTTAGGTTTATTTGTGTGCCTGTGATCTTAACAGCTTCCTTTATATCTAAATGTGTTGATGAGGTTTATTTAAATTAAAGTTATTGTTTTTGGGTGAAACTAAAATCAAACTGAGGAAAACATTACATCTATGTTATCTGAGAACACAACCTATGTTTGTTACACACAAATCTTTCGGTAACAAATTAAGTTCTGTGTGTGGTGAATGGATCTGTAGAGATAGAGCTAAAGATCCATAAAAGCACTTTAGTGCAACCTGACTAAGGTACCGTCTACAGGCCTTAACTGATGCACTCTAAATGTCTATAACACAATCTCTCCTCTCCTGCAGAGCAATGTCTTCATGTACTACGGCTTATCCAACTTCTATCAGAACCACCGACGTTATGTTAAGTCCCGAGATGACAGCCAGCTGAATGGTGACCGGTCTGCTTTAACGGTATAATCTTTGTAAATGTTGAAAGATTTGAACATGCCAATATTAAAATAAATGCCTTTTGCATCAGTAACCATTTTTATTTTTACAGAACCCCAGCAAGGAATGTGAACCTTACCGTAGAAGTGAGGGATCCCCCATTGCTCCATGTGGGGCCATAGCTAACAGCCTTTTCAATGGTAAGTACCTTCACAGGATTATTGCTACTCATGTGTGCAACTAAAGTCTAAACTTCTTCTAAAAGCTTAGTACTTGACAAATCAGTTGCATACGTTTATCTCTTCAGCTACACTTCATTATAGAACAATATTGATGTAATGTTTGTTTGTTTCAGACACTCTGCAGCTGTATCACATCGACTCCAACGGCACCTTGAATGAAATTCCTCTGGTCAAGAAGGGAATTGCGTGGTGGACGGACAAACATGTGAAATTCAGGAACCCTGGTGGAAACAACAACCTAACTGTAGCTTTTCAAGGTGATTTCAGCAAACAGTGCACATGACCTTCTAGGCTCATTGATAGGGAATTATTCATAGGGCCCATTAAGATTATGTTCTGATCATTTTAGTGTATGATAAGGCATGCCCCTTCCTTGTGCTTGGACTTCAACCAGAGCTGTGTCTTAGATATAACCAGAATTGACTTCTTCAGAGTTTGACCCTGCCAGGGACATAAACTGGTCCTTGTGTTTGCAGTTCTTGGCGCCAATAATTTCTTCACACTCATAATCACTTAGGGTGCATTGACCACCTTTGTTTTGTGTTGTTGTTTCTCAGGCACATCTAAGCCGGTGAACTGGAAGAAGCCAGTGTTCGAGTTGGACCCCGAAGATCCTGAGAACAACGGCTTCATCAACGAGGACTTCATCGTGTGGATGCGTACAGCGGCGCTGCCCACCTTTCGCAAGCTCTATCGCATCATCCAGAAGAAGCCGAGCACAACCCCCACTCTACCCAGTGGCAAATACGTCTTGAACGTCACTTACAGTATCCTTTGAATTATTACTGTACTGCACATCAACATTAGAGCTAGCCCTAGTCTCTAGGGTTGACTAGCATGCTTTTTCTTTCCTTTTGTTAAACTTCACGGGTACAATTATTAATAAAAACAACATTTCAGATTATTTAAAATCATATGCATCAATTGATATGGTGATACTATTATATACGTTTTTTTTACAAAATGTTGTCGTAGTTAATCATGCTGTGTTAGCTCTGTTTAAAAAAATTATTTGCATCCAGAATCTCCAGTATTTTTTCTTTTAACCAACTGATCATCAGATTACCCCGTGCTCAGCTTTGATGGTCGCAAGCGGATGATCCTGAGCACCATCTCCTGGATGGGAGGGAAGAACCCCTTCCTTGGCATTGCCTATATCACTGTGGGCTCCATCTGCTTCTTCCTGGGTGTCGTTCTGCTCATCATCCACCATAAATATGACAACCGCAACAACAGTGCAGATATTTCAAACTAAACTGCTCTTTTATCACGTTCTTCCCGTCTATGCATGCATGAGGGGACCCCAAAGTGTCCGTTCTGGACTGCTTGTTGACTGTAGCGTGAATACACTGGTCTCAGTCATTTGTTGTGTGTTTGTGTAAAGACAGCATTGTCTTTAGTGTCTCATCAAAAGCTGTGTTTTTGTGTTGGGCAACTAAGGCAAATGAAAGATGCTACAGTCTGTGTCTGTGTGCATATAGCTTTATGTCAGCTGCAGAGAATGTCATATCCTGTCTTCTATTTATCTATACATTATCAAAGTGTCCGTTTTATTTTAGCAGTGCTTTGCGAATGGCTTAATTACTGAAGGATGTGTGTATTTTTAATGCAAGTTTTTGTCTATATTATGTACTGTAGTAGTATGTCCTGCTGATGAATGTACCATTATACATTACAGATTTTGAGATGACCTTGAACATAGAATGGGGAAAGTCATTGCTCGTGTGCCGTTAATAATCGATAGCAGCACTGATATTTAACTTGAAGTATATTATGCTTGCCAAGTCATAGTATACTTATGACGAGTAGTACCAAAAGTGTGATTATTTACCTCCACTGTAACTGAAACTCAGCCAGTCACAAGGCATATTTTTCAAATTACAATCTGATGCTTATTAATAAGGAAAAGTGGAATTATAATCGTATACTATTATATCCAGTATTCTAATTATCTGGGAAGCGTCGCAGGCTGATGAGAGCACAACTATTTAATTTTGACAGTTGGGCCTGAGTGCTGGATTAACTTGCGTTCTGTAATGTTGACCAAATGATATGCACTTTAAAAGTGTCACATTTGTAAGTCACCAACTTGTTTGTTATTTTCTGTTACAAAATGTCATTCTGGATTTAAGTTGAGTAAATGGTTTAAATTTGAAATTTATGGGTTTTATACAAGGTTTTTAGGGTCCAATTAAAGAATTTGGTGAATGTTTTCCTGTAAATTGTGATTTTCTTTATTTGCATATCACTACCACTACTTTTCTGAGGGTGTATTTGTCCTTTTTTATTTATTGTAATACATTATATAATTATAAGTCATATTATATAATAGACCAGACTCGTCGGCGAGCGTCTGGTGGCCGGGCTTGCCACGGAGCCCGGCCGGGCCCAGCCCGAAAAGGCAACGTGGGCAACACCTCCGCTTCTCCGTCCCGCGGGCCCACCACCTACGGGAAACATCGATGGGGTCGGGTGCGCTGCCAGAAGGGTGGCAGTGAAAGCGGAGGGTCTCGACGGACCAGACCCGGGCGACAGAAGCTGGCTTTGGGGACGTGGAACGTCACCTCTCTGGGGGGGAAGGAGCCGGAGCTTGTGCGGGAGGTGGAGCGTTACCAGTTGGATCTGGTTGGGCTCACCTCTACGCACAGCGTCGGCTCTGGAACCTTACTTCTGGATAGGGGTTGGACTCTATTCTTCTCCGGAGTTGCTCAAGGTGTGAGGCGCCGGGCGGGTGTGGGGATACTCACAAGTCCCCGGTTAGGTGCTTCGTTGTTGGAGTTTACCCCAGTGGACGAGAGGGTCGCCTCCCTACGCCTGCGGGTTATGGGGGGGAAAACTCTGACTGTTGTGTGTGCTTATGCACCCAACAGCAGTTCAGAGTATACGGCCTTCTTGGAGACCCTGGAAAGAGTCCTGTATGGGGCTCCTGAAGGGGACTCTTTAATCTTGCTGGGAGACTTCAACGCACATGTGGGCAATGATGGAGACACTTGGAGGGGCGTGATTGGGAGGAACGGCCCCCCTGATCTGAACCGGAGTGGTGGTTTGTTACTGGACTTCTGTGCTAGTCATGGATTGGCCATAACAAACACCATGTTCGAACATAAGGATGCTCATAAGTGTACGTGGTACCAGAGCACCCTAGGCAGAAGGTCCATGATCGATTTCGTTATCGTATCATCGGACCTGAGGCCGTATGTTTTGGACACTCGGGTAAAGAGAGGGGCGGAGTTGTCAACTGATCACCATCTGGTGGTGAGTTGGGTCGAGTGGCGGGGGAAGCCTCTGGATAGACCTGGTAAGCCCAAACGTGTAGTTCGGGTGAACTGGGAACGTCTGGAGGAGGCCCAAGTTCAGGAGGCCTTCAACTCACACCTCCGGCGGAGCTTTTCGGGCATTCCTGTGGAGGTTGGGGACATTGAACCAGAGTGGTCGGTGTTCAAAGCCTCTATTGCCGAAGCCGCGGCGGGGAGCTGTGGTCTCAAGGTCCTAGGTGCCTCAAGGGGCGGTAACCCTCGAACCTCCTGGTGGACACCGGTGGTCAGGGAAGCCGTCCGACTGAAGAAGGAGGCCTTCAGGGATTTGTTATCCCGGGGGACTCCCGAGGCAGTTGCAAGGTACCGACAGGCCCGAAGGGCAGCAGCCTCATCCGTGGCCGAGGCAAAGCAGCGGGTGTGGGAGAAGTTCGGAGAAGACATGGAGAAGGACTTTCGGGCGGCACCAAAGTTGTTCTGGAAAACTGTCCGACACCTCAGGAGGGGGAAGCAGGGAACCATCCAAGCTGTGTACAGTAAGGATGGGACGTTGTTGACCTCAACTGATGGAGTGTTAGGGCGTTGGAAGGAACACTTTGAGGAACTCCTGAACCCGACAACTCCGCCCTCTATGTTAGAGGCAGAGCTGGAGTATGACGGGGGATCAACACCAATCTCCCGGGGGGAGGTCACTGAGGTCGTCAAACAACTCCACAGTGGCAAAGCCCCGGGGGTGGATGAGATCCGCCCGGAAATGCTGAAGGCTCTGGGTGTTGAGGGACTGTCATGGTTGACACGTCTCATCAACGTTGCGTGGAAGTCGGAAACAGTGCCGAAGGAGTGGCAGACCGGGGTGGTGGTCCCCCTTTTTAAAAAGGGGGATCAGAGGGTGTGTGCCAATTACAGAGGCATCACACTACTCAGCCTCCCCGGGAAAGTCTACTCTAAGGTACTCGAAAGGAGGGTCAGGCCGATTGTCGAACCTCAGATTGAGGAGGAACAATGCGGATTCCGTCCTGGTCGTGGAACGACGGATCAGCTTTTTACTCTCGCAAGGATCCTGGAGGGGGCCTGGGAATACGCTTATCCGGTCTACATGTGTTTTGTAGACTTGGAGAAGGCGTATGACCGAGTTCCCAGGGAGTTACTGTGGGAGGTGCTGCGGGAGTATGGGGTGAGGGGGTCTCTACTCAGGGCCATCCAATCTCTGTACTCCCAAAGCGAGAGCTGTGTCCGGGTCCTCGGCAGTAAGTCGGACCCATTTCCGGTGAGGGTTGGCCTCCGCCAGGGCTGCGCTTTGTCACCAATCCTGTTTGTAATATACATGGATCGGATTTCGAGGCGTAGTCATGGGGGAGGGGGTCTGCAGTTCGGTGGACTAAGGATTGCACCACTGCTTTTTGCAGATGATGTGGTTCTAATGGCTTCATCGGTCTGCGACCTTCAGCACTCACTGGATCGGTTCGCAACCGAGTGTGAAGCGGCTGGGATGAGGATCAGCACCTCCAAATATGAGGCCATGGTTCTCAGCAGGAAACCGATGGACTGTCCACTTCAAGTAGGGAATGAGTCCTTACCCCAAGTGAAGGAGTTCAAGTATCTCGGGGTCTTGTTCTCGAGTGAGGGAACAATGGAGCGTGAGATGGGCCGGAGAATCGGAGCAGCGGGAGCGGTACTGCAGTCGCTTTACCGCACCGTTGTGACGAAAAGGGAGCTGAGCCAGAAGGCAAAGCTCTCTGTCTACCGGGCCATTTTCGTTCCTACCCTCACCTATGGTCATGAAGGATGGGTCATGACCGAAAGAACGAGATCGCGGATACAAGCGGCCGAGATGGGTTTTCTCCGCAGGGTGGCTGGTGTCTCCCTTAGGGATAAGGTGAGAAGTTCGGTCATCAGGGAGGGACTCGGAGTTGAGCCGCTCCTCCTTCGCGTCGAAAGGAGGTGGTTCGGGCACCTAGTTAGGATGCCACCTGGGCGCCTCCCTAGGGAGGTGTTCCAGGCACGTCCAGCTGGGAAGAGACCAAGGGGTAGACCTAGGACCAGGTGGAGGGATTATATCTCTTCGCTGGCCTGGGAGCGCCTTGGGATCCCCCAGTCAGAGCTGGTTGATGTCGCCAGGGAAAAGAAAGTTTGGGGCTCTCTGCTGGAACTGCTACCCCCGCGACCCGACCACGGATAAGCGGAAGAAGATGGATGGATGGATGGATTATATAATAGCTAAATAAAAAACTTGACCCACTAATTTTAACAGTGTCACAAGACCGGAAGTAACAATGGATTGTGGGAAGTCAGACTGTCAGTAGAGGCTTCTCAATACTCAAATTTCCCCTCCTCGAGACTTAGACCCGCCCACAGGAGATGCGAGCGGAGGACCGAGGAGGGGAACCGAGGAGAGAGGAGGGGAAGCAGCAGACGTTTAAAGAAATGAGAACTCCTCTCCTCTGAGCGGTCATATTAAAGCGACGTCCGTTCATTATTACGTGATAACAGCTGCATCAGCTGTCGAGTGTTTTGTCATAGCGCTGTATTTTATCATCTAGATCAGCTGAACATTGTTCCCCCACATATTTACTTTGAATTAATTGAGAGTGCGGTATACCGTATAATGAGACAATAACAGGCACAGATGCGGACACACACACACAAATATATTTATATAAATATATACAATTTAAAGTATGAGAGCACTCTCATAATAACGTAACACAATCAGAGACTGGATATATCCCCCCCTCTCTTTGGTCGCTGAAATGGGGAATTGAAATTACGGGCCAAAAGTTGTATTTACAAGTATTAACTTGTAATAATAATAAGCCACTTACAATTTTCCGTGAGATCAGGGAGCAGATATAAGATGGAAGTTTCCCTAACATACAAAGCCATGTTAGGGAAACTTCCATCTTATATCTGCTCCCTGATCTCACGGAGAATTGTAAGTGGCTACTGCCTGAGATCGCATGCTGTGGTTTTATTAAATGTGCCAACTGCTAGGACTGTCTTAGGGAAGACATCTTTTAGATGCGCAGCTCCTCTGTCTTGGAATAGTCTGCAAATTAAATGGAAACTGAACAATCTGGTGCCACTAAATGTTTTTAAAGCTCTGTTGGATGCTACTCAATCGGAAGCTATTGGTACCTGTTTATGTGGATAATTATGTAAATGATGCTGTATGATGTCCTTTTGTTGTTCTATTTATGTTGTTATGTTTCATGTGGAACTACTTGAGCAGGTCTCCCTTGAAAAAGAGATCAATGATCTCAATGGGATGTATCTGTATAAATAAAGATTTGAAATTAAATTAAATTAAAAGTAAGCAGAGGACACCAAACCAACTGAGACCCGTCTGTCCGCCGCATCTACGCACTGTACAACACTCAACACACACCTACATACTGTACCACACACACACATACACACTGCCTACAACACACACTTCCAGCTCCTAAAGCATAATCAGGCTACAGCCGTTGTGTATTTTATTATGTGACGCACTAAATGGTCTTAGAAAAATATCGACTCTTTGTACTATAGCAAATAAAGAGAGTAATGTAGGCCTGTTATACTGAGTGATATTGTACACGGCTCTGCTTTCTGCACGGACCTCACAGCTGTTCTCACTGTAAACATCGCAACGCGATGAAAGCAGTTTCTAAAATAATATCCAGAGGATGCATGCAGAGCTGTCATTGGCTGAGATAAGTCCGACCGTGCGTCACGCCTCCACCGTTCCCGGAAATGCATCCGTGGAGGAGCCATCAGTGTATCCTCGGTTATAGCTCCTCCAGAGAGCCTCCTCGACGCTCGATCCTCGGTGTGCATTTATCGTGGTTCTAGGGCCAGGAACAACCAGGCTGAGTCGGGCTGAGTATGCTAAACTAGAGAGAGAATCGCTGGCAAGGGGGCTACAACTACAACAAGATGAACATATTTGACCGTGAATTAATTGTAATACACGTTTCAAAATGATGCCGAAGTAACAACATACTGATACCGGTTAGTAAAAACCATGAATGAATGCTTTGACAAGTCTGCAGACAGACGGCAGGCGAAAAACCCTTTTAAAATGCGTGTTTTCTAAATGTAGCTTGGCTAAGCTAACGTTATATATGCTCCGACCGTCCACACTCACAACAACGGCCTATACATAGTGATGTTACGTATTGCGCCGAGGCTTCGGAGCGTGTGTCGAGTAATCCCCGAAGCTTTTTGTGAAGCATGTACCGAGGCTTGTATCGTTTTGGGCCAGTGACGTCATCGATGACAAACGAAGCCTCGCTGCCTGTCGATACCACGTGACTGCTTCAGGAAGCGATTCAGATCGGTTGAACCGTTGAACCACAACGCTCATAATACCAATGGATGTATAATAAGAACCATATTACCCCTCCTGTACCCGGGCCCGGTGACACGATGGAATCAAGAGAGCTCAGACCCTCACTCATATAGAGGTCGGAACATGTCATAAGTATAAATAGATACAAGCATAAATAAATGTAGGAAAAAAAACATGAATGAATAAATACAGGAATACATATGTTACAGTATTTTCAGGGAGATTCAGCGTGTGTGCTGTGGCTCAGCTGGAAAGCAGTTGACTCACGATCGCAGGGTCTCTGGTTCAACGACTCGTCAATACGTCTTTTTTGTTGTTTATAAAAGCTACAGCTAAATGAGATAATGTAGTTAATAAATGTATTCTTTGATATGGTTTAGCCTTTCTCAGGCTACAACATGGTTACGTTTATGAATATTATTAAGGAATACAAATCCCTATTTGTAATGTTTACCAGCCTCCTTAGGCTTTTCAATCACAATCATTCAACTGGAATAAAAACAATATTGTTAACATGAAAATATGATTTAATGTTCGTTGTTTAGATGTATTCTAAGGCTTTACTCATTGGGAACTCGGTATGAGATAGAGCACACTGTTGAGATGTCCAATCTGCCTGTTTTACACACTGACCAACAGGGGGTTTGTGTTCAAATGAAGCCCATGATGAAGCCTCATGAGATGAACCCTTTTGCGAACCAATTGGCTGGAAAGCTTCAAAGCTTCATAAGGCTTCATCTCGCCATCACTACCTATACAGACATAAATAAACCAGCGACTGTATTCTCCATGACACAGGCAGTCTGTGGTTTGTACTTGTTTAACTTTTGTCAAGTTTCTGAACAGATATGAAGAGCTGTGAGCTCCGAGTGCTAAGAGCTAACGGCTGTGTTGTTTTTCTGGGGCTCTCATTGAAGATGACGTCACGGCTCCGCCTACACTGCGTTACTATAGTAACTACCCCAGTTCCTAAACTGTAATGGAAACGCAGCATTAAAGTGAGCCGGGCCTAATAAGGCCTAACCAAACCGAGCTAGGCCGAGCGAGGCCTGCAGTGGAAACGCGCCATTAGAGAAATGAGACGTCCTTCAAAATGGCGCGCTGAAATTCATTTCCGGGTCACTACCGGAGGACCGAGGAGTCGAGAAGGGGAAATTTGAGTATTGAGAAGCATCTAGTGTGTGTCCTTGTGCTGTGCCTTTACCTTTTAGTTTACGATAACAGAAGTTTTCCAAAATGTACAGACAACTATTGGTAAGACAACGTTTCAACTTTTGTATTAACCTTATCAAGTTGCTGTTCTGTTATTAATTTTGTTTTTACTATGTATAATGAATACGAAACTTAAGCTAGGTAAATTCTTATCGACGAGTAACGGTCCTGAAATTTGCTAAGTAACCCCGCTATCAGCTGAGAGTTTAACGTCATTAAACCCTCCAGATATTTAAGTAAAAAACGATGTTACATATAATATTATTGTCATATGTCATAGAGCAAATGTAAAATGGTTTGATATTTACCCTTTTGTCAGGACACCTGCAACAGGAATACAATAAAGTCAGGTTAGTGATGTTACACACGATGCGAATACAGACCTATGGCTGTATCGATTGCTTCGCTTCAACTCAACAAAAACGTACCCACTATAAACATGAATCAAGGACGTGCTTGTCAACCTGCCACATCATGTGAAACTTGCAATCCCTCCATAATGTATTCGGTTTACTGTATACAGTGTGGTGTGACAGTTAGACGACAGAGTTTTAAAGAGAAATCGAGGTAAAGTTTCAGGTAAGTTATGATTACATTTAGGTAGGGCTGTTTAACACCCGCTTTTTTATAATGTGTACCATTAATCCATCCACGTGCATTCCCATAAAAGGATACTTTAAACATATTGCCAAACCATTAATAATTGTGTACCTATCATCTTTAACTGTATGTAGCACCACCATTTTGAGCTATATGATCAACAGTGGCAGCAGTGACCTCTGATTTGACTCAGTCTTGAATGTAACCCTTCATACAAGTGCAATGCAGAGAGTCGGCCATAAGATGTCACCGTTGAGACCATTTAAAAAGGGAACTATTTTGAGCACAATTTTCTTTTTGTGGCATCATATACTGTTAGTCATGCTTAGATTATAATTGTTTAAAGGTCCCATGACATGGCCATTTCTACTGATCATAATTCCATTGTTGAGGTCTACTAGAATATATTTACATTGTTCAATGTTCCAAAATCACATTGGTTTCTCATACAGCATCTCTGTAGTATGTGTATTCACTCTGTCCAAACGGCTTGTTGGAGCTCCTGCCCCCCCTCCCTATGAGCCCACTGTGCTCTGATTGGTCAGCTCGCCCACTCTGTTCTGATGAGTCCACCACCGTTACAGCGGAACATCAGTGATTATGTGTTACAGTGGCGTTTGTTAGCAACCAGAAAATGACACCAGTAATGACAAACAGATGAGAATGCTGCGTGGGGTCTGGGTGCCGTGTTGGCGGGACGTTGCGGGGCTCGCTGCTCCGCCCTTTGAGGCTCGAGTGTGAGCTGAATTACTGGTGACATTTCCTGGTTGCTGCGTGGGGTCTGCGAGACAGCGAGACACTGCGAAACTCAGCCTGAGCACACACATAAACTCACAGCCTGGCTGTTTGCCACACAGTTCGCCAAACACTATGGCCTGAGAAAAGATAAGGCTGAGTCAGTGTTTCTCCGCAATCCCAACTCGTCTATTACCAACGTTCAGGGAGCTCTATGCTCAACGCTAAAGGTCCCCCCAATGCGTTTGATAGTAATGCCAAGGGATCCCGGTGTGAGGAGCTCCACGGATTGGTCCATTTGGACCAATTGGTCCATTTGGGTATGGTCACGTCACTGTACCCAGGAAGAAAAAAATGTAAAAAGAAAAATCTCCAACGAAGCGTTCTGGGGCAGCAGGACTTTTCTGTGTTCGAGTTTTACTCGCTACTTTGAGGGTTTGTGACTTTACAGACCGTTTACATGCAGAAAAAGCTACATAACACACAAGAGGACGGGTAATAACCCGAAAAGCATGACATGGGACCTTTCAACTTGAAAAATACTCAGTTGAGAGATTTCCCCAACAGGGACTTCGGCTGCTCTCCAGGCGGACCATCACAAGCAGTGCCCGCAGACAGGCTGATAACGGTGTGAAGGAAAAACAAAAACTGTTTCAGGTAATGTTTTTGAAAACGATATGACATTCCTAAACATTATGATCACATTAATTTCCCATTTGAGCTTTGTAACAGTGTTTCAGATGCTGTCTGACTCCTGTAAACCACAGGAGTAGTCTAGTCTTACTAAGAGTTTTCTTTCTGACACTTTTAATGATACATCTGAGCAAAGGTAATATCATAAATGTGAAGTGAAATACAAGTTCTCACACTTAAAGGGGACCTATCATGCAAAATGCACTTTTGTATGTCTTTTATACATGAATATGTGTCCCCGGTGTGTCAGGGAACTCACCAAGTGTCAGAAAACACAACCCTCTCTCTTTTCCTCCATACGCAAATCTCTAAAAAAAGGGGCTGCAACGGAGCTGATACAGATTTGAATTTTTCTGACGTCAGAAAAGGGGTGCTCCGCCTATATGGGCAACTCTCCACCTATCAGGGGAATGGGGGGTTGGGCCACGGCCATTGGCGCTCGAAAGCGCTGGAGACGCTGTAGTACATATGCCAGGCCTGTAAGTGGCGCTGTAGTCTGCCACAAAAGCAGCGAAGAAGACTTCTCACAGAATCAGCCCTTGCAAAAACAGGGTTGGAAAAGAGCAAATAGAGCAAAATGAGGCATGGCTAAAATGCATGATCTGTTTGGTATTTTGAAAGAAAAACTTCACATACATGTTTTATATAGGTATGGCCCTACACTATATTATTCAAATATAGCATGATAGGTCCACTTTAAGAAAAAAAGTCAATGTCTGATGTGTAGTGAAGCATTGTTGGTATGAAACATTCTTTATAACTGTGAAATTAAATCTTAATTTAGGCACCTTTTTGTCATACTTTGAAGGTTATTATATTTTCTTTGTTTTTACAATGTTAAAGTTTCTACTTTATTCCCAGGTTCTGGAGACAGAATCAAATGTTATCCTGTTTGTAGCCTGACAGATAAGTATAAGAGGGTTTCCACCCTGCAGTGTTTGGATGACCTTCGCCTGTAGCTGAGGCTGGAGTTATACTAATTATGCTTGCGAGCCGCTAATTAAAAAGCCATTGCAAAACCAACGTTCCAATGTGGCAGGCTTTTGCTGATCCATGCATAGCGCTAGGAATTAGAGTGGCCGTAGTTGACAAATGGCCTATCCTTGCTTCTAAATCTTAGAGCAAGCACTGCTTCATTGCGCAGTTTACTGTACGTCACCACTTAATTGCTATGGTTAACCAGAGATGAGCCCTACAACCATTTGAATACCATAGAAAGATCAACAAAGTCCTCAACATAGCCTTGAAGTTATCTCTTCTGAAATAACTACGCCTTGATTTTCTATGCAGCAGGACAACGGTTTACCTATCCATCTGAAGGGCGGGGTGAAGGACGCTCTCATCTACAGATTCACAATGGCTCTCACTGTATTTGGTAAGTCAGCATTTGTCTGAGATTTGATGAGTCAGGCTCACTCTGCATGTCTCAGTCTGTCTTTATTCAAGGGAAACATCTCATGCCAGTCGCCTGACCCCAATGTTATTACTGAAACTGACTTGGAAAGTCAAATAACTATAATTGCACGATGCCTCATGAAGGTTTGTTTGAAGTCAAGATAAATGCTTGTGTTGTACTGTATCTCCGGCACATCTGTAATACGTGTCTGCTCTCTCCACAGGGAGTGGATATGTGGTGTACGAGCTGTTTACTGCTGCGATGCCCAAGAAGGCATAGTGAAACAGGATCGGGCTATCTGACGGAACAATCATGCACTCGCTGCTCACTCATCAAGTCTGTGCTGCTCAGATTTGTATTCTTGGACATTATTTGTTCTATCAATACTCTCAGTATGTGTCATGTTTGATGTATTTATTGACTGTACAAATCATGAGCTGTTGATAATAATACAAATAAATATCTTGTGAAATTGTGTCACTTTTTAAAAATGGATTCCTGCTGTAGATGTAAACTTTGCATTGAGTCTAATGCTTTAGACAATAGATTTGTATTCTTCACCAACAGATTTAAAGTAGGATATTGTAGTCTGTTAGTAACCTGTGTATATTTATTAAGACTAGATTGGATTTCCTTCACATATCCAAACATTTGTATCTACTGCAGGTCTCTGATTTGAGCACTAGAGGGCAATAAAAACCAGTCAGAAGGCTCACAGTGGCAATTACTTTCAGCTGTTTCTGAAATACTTCGATTTCTCCAGCAAAATGAATGTTCCTTTGGTTCCCACATTATTTATAAACTTATGGAATATATGGATTAACCTTATTAAATGAATTGTGGTGTATTCAAGCATCTTGAACGCATTGTGAGAAAATCCACATATGACACAAATATCCAAGAGGTTTCTTAAAATCTAAAGCTTTCATTTCAGTCCACATCTGAGTAAATAAATTGGATAAGGTTGCCTGTTGCGCATATAAAACACTTCTCTTCCTCTTAGTGCCGTCTGGCCAAATGTTGCCCTGCTGTGAAATTCACATTGGCATTGGAAACTCATTAAATCAACTGACCAAAAGAATGCAGGAAAAAATGTAATTTCCAAACATTGGATCGGTCTCTGCGGGGGACATGCATCAACTGACGGGCAGAGTTTCGTAAGACACCCATATGATGGTAAACTGAGAGTTGGAACTGCCCCCCTATTAAGTAGTCGATGGTGGAAAGATTCTTCCCACTTTGAAAGAGGGTTTTCCTTCTTGGACATCTGCTGTTGGAGCTTCCAGTAGCCAGAGAGAGGAGAGGGGTCCAGCCGCAGCTCCTGAAATTCTTACTTTACTTTCCAGAGAGGGAGGCTTCAAGCAGGCTGCTCTCACATTTGCTCGGTACATTTTTTGGGGGGTTTGAATAGGTAAGTTGACTTAATGTTATTTATTTTCAAAAGTGTATTATCGGAGCTTTAACAATACAAATAACTACTTTATGTTTCAATACATTTGACAGAATATGTTGATTTTTGTCGCAGTTTTTTTTTTTACTGTAGGAGGATGTATTTCACACCAACTTAATCACTATGTGATAAATCTAACTTAACGTCGTTTTTTGTTTTTTTAAGATAAATTACTTTCGAAGATCTTTTTAATCACGTTATTGAACTGAGCTGAATGAAATTGCAACTTCAACATTCAAAGACAAACAAAGTCTATGTAATGTCTAGGCACATTTGTTTTGTGATAATGCATTAATAGGCTAGCTTTTTGGCTTTATTTGCAGTTTAAATTAGATTAAACCCCAATTGTGTGCGAGGGGCCAACAGAGTAATGTTGGTCCCTTTGGCTGCAGTATTCCTGCTCGTGCACCAGGCGGTGCGCACAGCCTGTGGTAGGATACATTTAAAGACACTTTCAGCAAAAAAGGGATACTGTGTGGATGTGGTTTACTGGTATAAGTAAAAAGAGTAACCCCATTGCATACATTTAATTCATTTCGGTATTGTATTTAAATGCTGTAATTGTAACTTATTTTGTTCAAAATGACTTTCAATCAAAATGCACTGTAATATTTTACACATTTAGAATATATCATTATATATATCATATATCAACAATATCATTAAGCTGCATGAATGAAGAGTTTCACCCAGACATCATCCCTGTAAAGTGAGGTAGAACCAAAGGAAAGGCTAGACTATGTGTGAGCTACAGAGCGACCCACTAAAACAATCAGGAGAGCTAGAAGGCAAAAGAGTCCCAGATTATACTTAATAAAATCAGACGGATGAACATGTGTAAAACAGTTTTTCTAAGTCCCTCATTACCAAATACCTACAATAAGTACCCACCTCAGGGTGTGGGAATCAACTAAGCAGTCAGGTGTGGCAGTTGTTGTGTAACAAAGTCTAGATGGATCTTGCAGTCTGTCATTAAGGAGAGTAATGATTGAATAATAGGAGCTATGATTATTTATTCCAGAAAAATATTATTTTAAATGCACCATGTACTTTTAATGAAGCGCAAACTGGGTGTTCTTCAGTTCATGTTAAATCTCGATACAGCGGTATATTAGTCATAATGTATCGCCTGCATGTGTTGCTGCCTATGCCCACACATTGAGCTTGTAATAAACCTGCATCTTAAAACATGTTTTCTCTTTATCATCAGACTGATTGATGCTCTGCTGACCCTTCAGGACCAAACATGAAAATAGGGCTGTCACTGGCCGCGGCTGCCTTCTTTGCAGCACTGCTCTCCACCATAGATGCCCAAGGTAAAAGAAAGCACTTGGCCTCATACACTCTGTCTCTTTATCTCTTCCTTCTCTTCTTTCTCCTGTACACCTCAAATGGTTCTCTATGTTACAGGGATTAGTCACTTTAAAGAGTCATCTCATTGACACTGAACTCTTTGTATTGATAAACTAAATAAAGTTATTCTTGGTTCATGTGTATGTTATATGACTATGTGCATTTTGGACTACTGACTTAATTTGTAATGCTTTTATCCCTCATTTGCAGCGTACTTTGTCCGATTTATCTGTGTGGACAGGCTTTAATGTCAAATCCAAATCCAGATCTCATTTACTTGTATGGTTTTGTTCTTTTGGATTAAACCAATAATTCTGCAGCCATGTTCACAAATGTAAATATGAAAAATACCACACTTGCAAGTTTATTTCATTTCCGATTTCTTATTAAATGCATTTAACAGCAGGGCACAGAGTAGAATACAAGTGTTTACCCATAAATGTCTTAGGAAGGCTGCTGTCGTTTCAATTTAATGGCAGCAAGCGTGTGCACTTTTTCCAAAGCAAAATTTGGAACATTGCCAAGTTCTTGTTAATTAGGCATTTAAATACTTCATCATATATTTATGCTGAGGTTGTAGTAGGATGTTGTGAATCTCGTCCTGTGGCAGCAAGTAAATACAGTGCTATAACGTATTAAATTACTTAAGCAACATCATAGTTGTACTATCGCGGAAACAGAGTGCAATAATTTAAAATACATAAAAAACAGCAAAAAGCGTAAAAGTAGTGCTATGTTAGGCAATTAAGTTTGGTAGAAAGTCTAATAAATGGTTATATCCAAAGGGTTCAAAACTGTATGTATAATCTTGTGACTATCCCTGTTGGATTTTGTGCTCATATTACTATTGTTTTAGCACCTATTAAATGCACGTTACTGTACCTATCACAACGGCCAACATGTCATAGACTGTTAACAATCTGTCAGGAATTTTTGACAGAAAATGACTCAAAGTAATTTCATATGCAAACATTTCAATCCAGTATAATGGCAAATATGGAAACCCTCAGATTTCTTTCCTTCTGAAACCTCTCTGGCAGCGTGAGAGGAGTCTAACATCTCCTCTCACATATCTCCACCAACCGAATGGAAAGATGAAATACGAGAATAGCAAATTAATCCTCAGACAGCGCAAAGACAAAGAGCCTTTCTAGGGCTCTTTTGCGGGCATTTGCAAAATGCTGAGTTGCAATACATATGGAAAGTTAATATGCAGCAATGTTTAATGTCAGCACATGTTGTGGAATTACTGGCATCTGTCCTGCCTCTTTGGGAGAGTCGGTGTACTTTCCTCCTCTTTTTGGTCTCTCCTCCTGGCAGCAACTCAGGCCAGGATGGCTGTCTGGCTGGAGACTAAGGTTACTAATGGAACAGTAGCCAGACTCTGGCCCCTGGGAGCCTGAGTTGTCTTTTATTAGGAACTGATGGGACTGACATCCATGTAACAAGAGCAACCACAATGTCCAAATAACCAGAGATTGTTAGTTTGACAAAACCACCTTTGTTCCTCAGTATATTTTATAAGCAGGAGGACATGGTCGGAGACATTGTAACACATTGAAATTGCCTGAAACAAACAAATGTAGGAGAGCCACGTTGACATGGAAGTCAACCCTCGCCTAGCACAATTTCATCAAAATGTTCGAATCTGTAATTGATTGGCAATTGCTACCCACCTCCACTCCTACACCCACACCCACATACACTTCCGTACCCCATACCATTTCGTGTTGGAGATGCGTACTCACGGAGAAATCAGGTGGAACGCGGCCCATCGGGGCTCCTTGAGTTGATAAGTCAGGTTGGTGATCCTCAAATCGCAGTTTTTAAATTATCTGGTGGGCTCCTGTTTGTCATCTGCCTGTGCATTCAGTGTGTCCCAAGCTATGGCTTCCTCCTCAAAATGTATTTTACAATGATATTCTTGCCTCCCATGGCATTCTTATTCTACTTTACAGCTAGCATGAACCCACCCTACGGTCCCATGCATGCTCACTTACCTAAGATCAGCCCCATTATGGGTAAATTAAGGCTCAGCCTGGCACTACAAGTCAGTTCAAATGTCATCATGCTATCCTCAAGAAAATATTGAATGTATCACAAAATAATTTGTTTAGTCTTACACTATTTTCTTTTTTTATTGAACACTTATTTGCTACTATTTCTAATTACATCACTTTTCGAGGCGAGTAGCATGAAGCATGAACTTAGCTAACTATTTAATTAACAAATAAATTAAGACAGAGGTAGTTTAAAACTAACCTTATGACCCTTTTTAAGTGGCAATGGATAACTTGGTTAATAAAATGGGAAACAAATGTAACTTTTATGCATGTAAATAACAAATGTCATTTTCGATGACATTTGCCAACTAACATTAGCTAACTAACATTAGCCCTTTCCCTCGATTTCGTACCAACCTAAAGGCTGTAAAAAAGGAATATCATTTAAAAATATGTTTGTCATCTCTGTCTGTGTGGTTCCAATTGTACATGGAAACTAAGTCCAGTCAATTAAAGTTGTTAAACC